TTTATCGGCGCGATAGAGACGAAATAAACCCCCAAAGGAAACCCAAGGTATCTCTCTGCTCTTTATTCTAGTGCTGCTGCTGCTGCTGCTGCTGTTGCTGCTGCTGGTGTTGCTGCCGGTAGTGCTGTTGTCGCTGCAGCAGCTGCTGCTGCTGCTGCTGCTGCTGATGAAGCTTGCAGGGGCTACCGCGAGTCTTCCTGGGGGCGTTGCTGCGTAGAGGATGCAGGGGAGGGGGGCCCCCGTGCTGCTGCTGCGAGCAGCAAGCCAGCCCCGCTGCTGCAGTGAGGGGGAGCGAAAGACAAGACGCTTCTGCTGCTGCTGCTGCTGCTGCTGCTGCTGCTGCTGCATGCAAAAGCAAGAAGAAACAGCAGCAATGCAACGAACTGCAGCAACAGAAACGAAAAGGAGAGGAGACAGAATGCAGCAGCAACAGCAACAACAACAGAACCATCAACACAACCAGCAGCAGCAGCAGCAGCAATAGCAGCAAGAGATATAGAGCTGCAGCAGCAGTCACAGCAGCAGCAGCAGCAGCAGCAACAGCAGCACGAGGGTATTTGTTTGTTTACCTTTTGTTTAATATCTTTTTCTTTTTCTTTTTGTTTTTGTTTTATTTCTGCTGCTTCTTTTATTTGCATTTTAATTAAATTTGCTGCTTTCCCTCGAAATTTATTTTGCTGCGCCGCAAACCACAAAGCTGCTTCTCTCACCTCTGCTGCTGCTGCTGCTGCTGCTGCTGCTGCTGCTGCTGCTGCTGCTGTTGGTGGTGGTGGTGGTGGTTTGGTTGCTTCTTTTGGATCTGCTGCTGCTGCTGCTGCTGCTGCTGCAGGGTCTGCTGCTGCTGCTGCTGCTGCTGCTGCTGTAGGCTGTTGGATGGAGCGGAGCCCCAAAGCTGCAGCAGCAACAGCAGCAGCAGCAGATTTAGTTTTTGCTGCTGTTGCTGCATCTGCTGCTGCTGCATCTGCTGCTGCTGCTGCTGCTTCTGCTGCTGCCTTGCTTAGGATGTTGGCGTTGTCTTTCAGGGCTGCTGCACGTATTTCTGCATGCATATTTGGTGCTGCAGGGTTTGCTGCTGCTGCTGCTGCTGCTGCTCTATCTGCTGCTGCAGCTGCTCTATCTGCTGCTGCTGTTGCTGCTGCTGCTGCTGCTCTTTTGTTTGCTGCTGCAGCAGCAGCAGCAGCAGACTTTCCCCACAGGCTGCGCCATATGCTGCGAAAGTCGATGCATGCATAGGGGAGAGGTTGCCTTGCTGCTGCTGCTGCTGCTGCTGCTGCAGCAGCAGCAGCAGCAGGAGGAGCAGCAGGAGGAGGGTTTCTGCTGCTAGGAGATATAATAAGAGCTGATGCTGCTGCTGGTGTTGTGTTGAGAGGTAAAATAAAAAAGAAAATAAATAAAAAAATAAAAAAAATAAATAAAAAGAAAGAAGACAGCGCACGAGAACGAGCTGTATATACACCCCAAATACACGGAGAGCAGCAAACGCCAGAAACCCTCATCCCCTTCATTGCTTGCAACATAAACCCTAAACCCTAAACCCTAAACCCTAAACCCTCGGGGGGAGATTGCCTGTGGTGGGTGAGACACCCAGAAGAACCCCCAGCAAGCATCTACTCTGCAACACATAAACCCTAAACCCTAAACCCTAAACCCTAAACCCTAAACCCTAATTCTGCATATATTGAACAAAGGGTTTACAAACCCTAAACCCTAAACCCTAAACCCTAAACCCTTGGGGTTTGTCTGGGGGGCCCCTCTCAGCAGAGACAACGGAGGGCCCCTCAACACAAGGAGGAAAGAAACAGAATAAAACACATCCTTTCTTCTAAACCCTAAACCCTAAACCCTAAACCCTAAACCCTAAACCCTAAACCCTAAACCCTAAACCCTAAACCCTCGTTTTTTCGATGAGGAAACCAGCGAAGCCGAAGGCCCCTCAACTCGATCGAGGGGGCCCCGGCATGCAGCATGCAAACCCTAAACCCTAAACCCTAAACCCTAAACCCTAAACCCTAAACCCTAAACCCTAGATATTGAAATAATATTAAAAAGATAGAAAATATATTTTTTTGTGGTTATGCTTTTCCCTTCCCTGGGCTCCCCTGCCCTACGGGAAGGGGTTTTAGGGTTTAGGGTTTAGGGTTTAGGGTTTAGGGTTTAGAGATGCCGCCTGCAGAGAAGGGGTGGCTTGCTGCTGATGCAGCAGCAGAGCAGCAGCGGGAGCAGCAGCAGCAGCAGCAGAAGAAGAAGGAGCTGCAGCAGCTAAAAGAGAAAGAAGAGCAGATACAGATGTGTGTTGTGTTGCTGCTGCAGCAGCAGCAGCAGCATCCCCGCATGCTTCCTCTTGCTGCTGTCACGATGCAGCTGCTGCAGCAGCAGCAGCAGCTTGTTGCTGCTGCTCTGCTGCTGCTGCGCCGCAGCATCAACGATATCCTCAGCAGCAGCAGCAGGCTCTTCGTCGGCACCCGCAGGGCGTGCGAGGAACGCGTGCGTTTCCTGCAGCAGCAGCAGCAGCAGCAGCAGCAGCAGCGGCAGCAGCAGCAGCAGCAGCAGCAGCAGCAGCAGCAGGAAGAGATCGACTGGGATCAGGTAGAGATACGAAACGAAGACTGTCTCTGCTGGCCCCCAAAGCAGCAGCAGCAGCAGCAGCAGCAGCAGCAGCAGCAGCAGGAAACAGAGGATGAAGGGGAGTTGTTTGTGCTGCTGCAGTCACCACCTCCTCAAGAGGTTCGTTAACACCAAACGGCCTGCTGCTGCTGCTGCTGCTGCTGCTTCTCCTTCTGCTGCTGCTGCTGCTGCTGCTGCTGCTTCTGCTGCTGCTGCTGATTGTGAGGCTGCCGCGCCTGGGTGGAGCATTTGTGCTGCTGCTGCTGTTGCTGCTGCTGCTGCTGCTGTTGCTGTTGCTGCTGCTGTTGCTGCTGCTGTTGCTGCTGCTGGTGCTCCTGTTGCTTCTATTGCCGCTGTTGCTATTCTGCTGTTGCTGCTGCTGCTGCTGCTGCTGCTGCTGCTGATGCTGCTGCTGTTGCTGCTGCTGCTTCTATTGCTACTGCCGCTGCTGCTGCTACTGCTACTGGCGCTGCTGCTGCTGCTGTTGCTGCTGCTGCTGTTGTTAATACTATTACTACTACAACAATAACAACTACTACTGTTGCTGCTGCTGCTGCTGCTTGTGTTGCTGCTGCTGCTTGTGTTGCTGCTGCTGCTGCTACTGCTGCTGC